TCTCTCTCTCTCTCTCTCTCTCTCTCTCTCTCTCTCTCTCTCTCTCTCTCTCTCTCTCTCTCAATGGAAACTTTGGTTATTCTACACAATTGCTAGTCCGGTTGAATTGATTTCTGGATAATCCTCAAGTATTGGGTGGAGGTGATTAGCACCTTTCTTTTTTTTTTTTTTTTTTTTGGGAACGGAAAAAATCTCTGATGTATTCGTGGGGGGAAGCACGAGCCGGGAAGCGCCTCCAGCATCCGCATTTGATTTATTTATTTATTTTATTTTATTTTTTTTGCATTTGACATTAGGCGAAAGAATAGATTAAGCAGCAGGATCCCGTAAGAGAATACCCAGAGTGGGACTTTTCGGACTAGACTGTGGCCGAAATTGCCGTCAGATACATCCAGGTCATGGTATTCCGGTCAGATACGTCCTGGGAAGTCCTAGTATGAGTATATATATATCCTTAGGCCTCATTGGCTCCACGTCGAGGTACTTTTTTTTTTTTTTTCCGCATAATTAAAACGAGAGAGAAATGTGTCCTTAGGCCTTAATTGCGCAGGCGCCGAGCTAATCCGTCTTCCTTTTTTTTTTTGTTTCCTTTTTTCTTTTTTTTTCCCCTTTGGTGCTCAAGAAGCCCCTGCGTCTTTCATTGTCACCTCCATATTTTTTCCCTCCCTGGCGAGCCCCCCGCTTCCTCCATCTGAGCACTCTGGACGTGATTGCAGTCAGATACATCAATGGGCGCTCGCTCCACTACTCTCGAAATGTGCAAAACGAGAGTGAATCTTCCGCTAGAACTCGGAAAGATACATAGCCTTTTTTTTTTTCTCAGAGATGTCTTTCAGGATTCTAGTTGTGAAAGTTTCCACAAGGATCGTTTTTTTTTTTTGTTTTTTTTTGCCCCCTTTCACTGCTGTCGTCAATCTGGATCAGGATGTGGTGGTCAGTCACTTTTGGATAAAGGATCGTTTTTTTTTTGTTTTTTTTTTTTTCCAATGGATTTTGGATATGGATTTAACTATTATACGGATATATGATTAGTCGGTTTTGGATATGCATCTGCTCGATATCCCGAATGTATTTTGGATGTGGATATCGATTTGGATATGGATATGGATATGCCAAATGGATTCTGGATATGGAATGGATATGGTTAGGAATAGGAGTATGGATCATGCATCTCTGGAATGTATTTTGGATATGGATATGGATATGGATACGGATCTGGATATGAATATGAATATGAATATGGATACGGATATCCTCAGTCAGTTTTTTTTTTTTTTTTTTTTTCCCCTGAGTCAGATTTGGATGTGTCTTGTGGATGTCCGCACTGGATTTTGGACACGGATATGGATATCGGCAATGGATTGGGATATGGATGTGGGGATATGCGCTATGGATTTTCGATCTGGCTGTGGATCAGATTACCGTCTTCACCCGAATAGAACGCTCCGTCATTTTTATAGCTGTATCTGGACTGAAAATTGCACCAGAAACGCCTATAATGACCAGGCGTTCTCTTCGGGTGAAGACGGTAGTCGGTTTTGGATATCCGTAATGGAGTTTGGATATGGATAGGGCTATGGATATGCGTGCAATGGATGGATGTTGCAGGTCTGCTGTTCTCTGGCTATGGCCATTTTTTGGCAGCTATGGGCCTCGCTTCACTACGCTCAAAACATCGCACAGATGACAAAAATAATCAAGGCGATGTATCTTTTCCATGTGTTCTAGCGGGACATTCACTCTCGTTTCTCGTTTTGCACAGTTAGGCGAGTCGTGGAGCGAGGCCCTGTGTCGAGAGGGTACCGCGGGTTGTTCTCTTGCCTCCACTTCATTCCGGGGCAAGGTCCCACTTGCGCAAATTAGGAGATTTCGGCCGTTGATCTCGGCTATCTACGGTCAGTATCTCTTAATTCGCGCTAGTGGGACCTAGCCCCCGGTTGGCGAGGAGCCTCGAGGGTACCGCTGTTTGGTTTTCCTCTTCCCTCGAGTAGAACGCACTGTCACTGCAGCTGTACGTGGCACAACTTTCAGTCTAGATGTCGCTGTACGGGCCTGACATCAATATTGCAAGACATCACTTGGGCCTGACATCTTTCTGCAGCTGTACGTGGCACAACTTTCAGTCTAGATGTAGCTGTACGGGCCTGACATCAATATTGCATGTACGTGGCACAACTTTCAGTCTAGATGTAGCTGTACGGGCCTGACATCAATATTGCAAGACATCACTTGGGCCTGACATCTTTCAGTATGTCCCTACCCTGTACATATGGCAGCTGGGAGCGGGACGGGGATCATCTGCAATTGGACCCATTTTTCTCGATTTATGCGTGTCATCCTTACTTGCGCAGGCAGGGGCCATGCTAATAATCTTCTTTCTCTGTATCGTTCCAACCCTTTTAACGGATGTCCCGAAGGACTCATCTGCAATTGGCCCCAACCCGTGTGCGGAAACAAAAAGTTGGCCCGCCCTTTGGCAGGGGACTGCGGAAAGATTTCAGGGTGGAGGGGCACGCGAGTGGAAGCCGGCTGTTTGAGGGGCAGAGAGCAAATACACGCATGAGGGGCATACTGAAAATTTCCTTGGAAATAAAAAGGGGTGGTGGGAATATGAGAGGATTGAACCACCAGCCTGGGGGTGTTCACACGACCCTAAGACGAGGCTACCTTCCAAGGTCCTCCTTTTTTTTTTTTTTTTTTTTTTTGCTTGGGACAGATTTGCTTCAATCCATTTGTGGGGAGCAGCATGTGATGGTGGCAACTGGGCCCAGCGTCCCATATGAGGATGTGCTGGGAACCGGGCCCAGCGTCCCATACGAGAAGTCTTAGAAAACATGTAAGATAGCCGGCGAAGCTGCAACTGCAACTTTTGAGAGTGGCCTGCCCATTTGTCCACCGGCCCACCCAAATCCACAAGCTCACCGGCGGGTGAACTGGTAGTTTAACTGAGGGAGAGGGGAGAGGAGAGGAGAGGGGAGGGGGGGGGGAGGAGGGCGCTCCACATGCAGAGGACTTCCACAACTCTTCTTCTTTTTCAACAATGTCTAACAGCTGATAAAAGACAATTTTTTTTATTTTTTATTTTTTTTGAAATAAGGCCCTTGCGCAAGACCTCTATCCTGGTGGTGGTAGGAGAACCACCAGGATTGAGGCTTTGCCTAGCGGGCTGCTCCATCTATTGGTGGGGAGCAGCACCTGCTGGAAACCGGGTCCAGCGTTCCTTAAGTGCATCTTTGCAAAACAATACATCAATGCAGTGACCCCAATGTGCTGGAAACCGGGTCCAGCGTCCCATATTCAATCTACTCTTCCCTACTTAGCCTGCCCCGCACCGGGGGGCACCGGTGGGGTCTCCCTCCCTCCCTCCCCTAGCCTCCACCCACCACCTATTATCCTCTGCTATCCTCTTGGCGCCTATTGTGTCGGGCACATCTATCATAGCAAGTGTTTGCACGTGTTTGGAAACAACTGAAGCAACTGAAGCAACCGAAGCAACTGAAGCAAACTTTAGAATGACCGGGGCAACTGCACAAAAATGGACGGACTGGAGAAACCAAAGAGCAATGAAGGGACGAAGAGCAACAGAAAAACAGGCTGAAAAGCCAGCTGGAAAGCTGAGAAGCCAGGCTGAACTAGGCTGCTCTGAGCTGTGCTGACCCCCCTCCCTCCCCTAACCTCAGTCAACCAAGACAAATGGCACTCGAAGAGCGGCAGAAAATAGGCTGAAAGAGCGACAGCAGACAGGCTAGGAACCAGGCTGAACTAGAGCTAGGCTAGCAAGGAGCAACAAGGAGCAACAGAGCCCCAGAAAACAGGCTAAGGAACCAGGCAGAACTAGGCTGCGCTGACCTCCCACCCTCCCCTAGCCTTGGCCCACCAAAACAAGGGGCCCTCGAAGAGTGACCGAAAACAGGCTGAAGGCGTGACAGAAAACCGGCTGAAAACCAGGCTACAGCTGAGCTTATGCAGGCGGCAGGAGTTCTGCTAGGGACAACGGATGGGGTGGGAATGGGTCTGCAAAGTCCTGGGCGGGACGTAACGGGGAGCTGGGGTCTATCTTGGTCCAGTTGTGAAAGATCAACTGATAGTCCCTTATTATCTCTGCCCGGGCCCCTCGTGCTTCTCCCTCTGTCCGGCGACCGGTCCACTTTACTGCTGCCACCCATCCCTCCCTTTCCCCCCCCAGCCAGTCCATGCAGAAGGTAGCAATGATCTGGTTCATGTCTCCCCAGGAGGACGTTTGGYCGAGCTTGTCTTTAGTTTTCTTCCRTTGTGTYGCCAGCTCATAATGAATCAATGTCCGAATTTGTTCCATCGCCTCTCCGTCCTCCACCCCTGCTCCCTCTAACTCCAAACAACATCGTCTCCACCATATAGTCCATAGCACACTCCGTCTACCCAGATTGAACATGTTCTCCTCAAATATCTTCCCCCGTATTGGAGGGAAATGTCCCAAAAGTATAGCCCTCCACTCCCATGGCCATACTGCGCCGGGAACTATGTGTCGCCAAATTCTATCCCAACTTCTCCACAGTAGCACCGACACGGGACATTGGAGGAAAATGTGTTCAATGGTTTCGGCCCGTCTCCCCCCGGGGTAACGTTGAAGACATCGACGACACTATGGCAGTGCCTTCCCTTGTTGCTCCAGGTGGGTGTGGTCTATCAACCAGTCCATAGTCGGTAGACACCTGTGCTCTATTTGCCACTGGAGGACGGAGATCTTGGCGGGTCGTTTGTGGTGCTGGGCAAACCAGCGTATGGGCTTCAGTAGATGGCGATCCA